TCTATTCTCCAGCTTTGCCAGCAAAGCTCCCTAGTGGAGATGCAATGTACACAAGCAAAAGGAGTTATTTTTATGATGCAGTTAAACTACCTTCCCAAAACATATTAGTTAAAATAGCTAAGCAAGGTTCTTTGGATAGATGTGATATCTTTTATTAGACCAACTGAGTAGTTGGAAAAAAGTTCTTTGCAAGCTTTTGAGTGCAGTCACCCTTCTTCAGGCATAGGAAGTTTCTGCTGTTCTGAGACTCAAGGAATGAGAGAAGAAGGAATGACTGAAGAAGGGTGATTGCACTCAAAAACTTGCAAAGAACTTTTTTCCAACTACTCAGTTGGTCTAATGAGAGATACCACATCTACCCAGACAACCTTGTCTGCCCAGGTCCATAGACCAACACGGCTACAACCAAAAACCCTTAGAACAGCCAAAGCACTTTGTCCAGCTAAGTTGTGGACAACTTAGCTGGACAAAGTTGATGGACTGTTCATATATCTCTACCAGTTAGGCCCTATTATCCCTAACCAACATAACTATGCCAGTAAGCTTTGTAATACATAGCTTGCCAGGCCTTTGACTGATTTTTTTTTTTTTTTTTTTATTACAGGCCTAAAAGCTAATATGTGTTGTTCTTGGCTTGTGCATCATTGTTAGCAATAATTGTATAATCTGAGTTCTGTGCTCCAACCATGATAACCTCCTTCTTTTCAATGGAATTGTACATTTGTACCGAAAGATGGGATTTTGCCCTAGCAATTAGAAGCTAGTGAATCATTCTGATGTGTGAGGAGAAATAAATTTGTGCTCACTCTCCCAAAGTTTCTGAAGACGTACAATTCTGGAAGCAGGAAAAACAAGAATGTAAATTTATTGTTGTCAGTATTATCAGCAGGTGTGATGCTGAAAGGATGCAAAAAACAGTTCTGTTGAATAAGAATACCATTTTTAAGACACTTTTAGGATTAAAACTATATTAGGATGGTATTTTGGAAATGTGTACAGTATATATTTTCAAATAGTTTTTGCTTTTGCTCTTCAATGCTGTTGCTTGGGTGTTGGAAATATTTTTCTTTTACTACTGTCTGACTGATTTGATTGCTGCTTGAAGAACCATAAGATTAATTATGTTTTAATAAGTATGGAAGCTTTTTTTAGCAATGTATTATATCTCAATAAACCCATCCTAGGACTAAATATGTGACGTTGAGGCAGACAAACAGGGGACTTAAAAGGTAGCATATCCTTTGGGGATCTAGTTGGGGATGGTCCTGGTTTGAGCAGGAAGTGGGACTAGATGACCTCCTGAGGTCCCTTGCAACCCTCATTTTCTATGAGCCTGACTGTATTGTAAAAGAAGTAAAAATAATGGCCATAATCTAGTTCATTGTTCCCTTCTTAATCAAACTATATAGATTTAGAGAAAACTGTTGTTGTGGCTCCTGGGTGTCAGCTTCACTTTACTATTTAAATCTGACTACGCTGAAGTGGCATTTCCCTCATACAGCCTCCTGCTGTGGTCTCTAACTAGGGGCCAGAAGCAGTTTTCTGCTAATTTAACAAATTCATGCTTCAGACTTAGAACCTTGTCCTGCTCAGCTCCTCCCCCTCTTTCCTGGCCCTGCTGGTTGAATAAGCACTTTGTTTCTGAAGTAGAGTAGCATATTTGCTTCTCTTCATCCTCTCCACCCCCTCAACTTTCCATTGGGTGCTCTCTGTAAAATTCCTAGTTATTAAGCAAAATGGTGACCGCGGTAACCCTGAGTATACTTGCTGGTCAACTTGATGGGGATTGCCTGTGACATTGAATCCTTCGTTCTCATAAAAGGGCTTAACAAAGAGGAACCCTTTAAACAGAACTCAATCGCAAAAAGCCTACATTTTTCTTAAAATTGTATGTTCCTTTTTATTATTAAGTAGAGAAATATGAAGTCAATGTTCTACATGAAAACAGTCAAGTAAAATGTAGTAATTATAACCCCTGGATTAAAAGTGAAGAGGTTTTTCTTTAATGAGCACACCCCAAACAACCATGTTCTACAAGTGACCAGTGTTATATCCAGGACTAAACTGTGTTCTTTCCACACTTCAGTTTGGCAGCCTGTATCTATATAAAGTGAAGATCAGCAACTATTAGAAAATGGATTCCTATTCCATATGTATTATATACATTTTCTATATCAGTTACTTCAAGTCCAAAGGGAAAAAAAAACTTTCAGAATGTTTTGATTTCTTTCAAATATACTGTGAAGTGAATAAATCCTAATTTTGATATTCAGTCATGTATTGGTGTGGAACATTAGCTACTTATATTTGACAAAAGACTGTGTTTTCTTTTAAGCTCATGAAAGACAAGCTTATGAATGAACAGTAATTAAACAACAAATATGTGGGCAGGGTAGGATTTTCCAGGGCAATCCATATTGGCCTTACTTTGCATCCCTGAAGTCAGTGGTAGACTTCAGTTAAAGCTGAGTGCTTCTGAATATCTCACCCATGGCTTTAATTTTATATACAACTATACCATCTCTGTAGGCCCAGGTGTATATATATTGTTTTGCTTGCAGTATGTATTAGTGTTTAAGTAGCAATATTTTAAAGAGGCATTAGGATATTGGGTTAAAACACAGAAATCATCAAATCCAACTTTGCTTTCCCACCTACATCATCCTACTGATTTTATAGTGCAAAAGCAGATTGAACCTGCTCTATCTAGAGCAAGAGCAAGTGACTAAGAGGTTCTTATTTGCATGTATGTATAACTAGATTGCAGTTTCAGAATCCAGTCTTCATTCCTGTTTATATTAACAAACTAAACACACATCTTTTATGCCTTGCTGCAGAAGGCACCATCAACCTGAAAAATCTCAATGTGCTTTCTTTAAGGAAAAATTATTCCCCTTTAATATCTCTGGAGGATGCCTGCTATTTTGGGGTATGGAATTCTTTACTGAGCCATTGTCTATTCAAAACAACATCAATCACACTCAGTTTTTACTGTCACCTATTTATAGCTATTTAGCAGGTTTCTGCATTAAACAGCTGTGGAAAGTGTCAA